GCCAGCTGGGTCTAGTACATTTCTGCCGGCAATGCCACTCCGATGCTGCGGAGCTAAACATAATGGTGCTTAGCTTCACAGCATTAGAAAAAAAACCGAAGAATAAGGCTTCTATGAATGATGGACTTTTTTAGGTTGCTGCAAGCATTCAACCGTTTGGAATCGTAGGTATATACAATGAATTACGAGGCGGGGGGGGTAGATTATGTAGAAGAGTTTGTACCCTCCCACTCGAGTCTGGTATTAAAAACCCTAGAGGCTGCGGATGGCTTGCTTGGTAGGCTCTCGCGGAGGCTGATCCGGCATGTGACCCTGACCCCCCCTCTCCCTGGGTCACATGCCGGTGATCTCCTGTGAGCATGAAATTCAGAAGCTACTACAGTCAAGCGTACAATCCAAAACAGCTGATAAAACATTCCTCGACAAAGAATTATACTGTTAGTAATCTTGCGGTCAGCAAGGTTATTCTTCGAATATCCCTGTTTTTTCCCACAACTGGAACTGGTTTATTCAATTCCTGAGGTGGCGTTCAGACTGGGAGACGGGCAAGAGAATCGTAAATTGCCGCTTCGTCGCGCGCGGCGATGGGCGCGACGTTCTCCTTGATTTGCACTACCCTTTCGATTGGAGCATCGCAAGGACATGGTAGACACTTGCGTCTATTTTTGGCCACTTTCTATTCTTGACCAATACGAATTGCAACTTTATGAGCAGGCGCAACGTCGCACGCGACGAGCACTGGCGCGGCTAATTACGATTCTCTTGCCACATAGCCGTTCAGACTTGCGAAATTAGCAGCGGTTCACTCAATTTCAGCGTTGGAGTGTGAAAGAAGCGCTGCCATCGCGAAGTCAGAATGCTGTTTAAGCACTAGCCCTCTCTCAGTCTGTAAGGTTTCTACAACAAGCTAGAATTTAAGAGGAGTGTTCAGAACATTGGATTTTCAAGCGGTGGAGAATCTTATTTGGGGGAGGGGGGGGGTGGAGGTTCTCATACGCCTAGCTCTCTATCAGATGCGAATCAAAGCATTTTCCCAAGAGTTCGGGAACATTTGTGAAACCTAAATTTTGTTGTCCAAGAGGATTTGACAAGCCATTCACTAGGAGGTCATCGCTAACTTTCTCTACACTTAACTAGTCCCCAGTATGTTTAGGAAAACTACCACTAAACATTCAGAATATGCCATCGTCAATGTAGCGCTGTTGACACAGGTTCTTTTCAGATTCGGAAGCCTGATATCAGCGGTGGGATGTGCGTGTAACCTGCTGTTGTTGTTTCTCTTCTTGATGAAGAGCTTCAGCAATCCTGCTCAAACCTTCCTTGCATTCCTCGACTTTATGCTCTGTTTCTTGTTTATTGCATGCTTCGGTGCACTTTCGCTCTCCGTCACTTTCAGAATAGGTGAGCACATACATAAGAGATCCCTGAGATGCAGTAGACGTGTGTACCTGGAAAGTGTAACGTGAACGTGGTGGCGGCCAAAGTTTTCGTGAGACGTTTTCATTTTGGGACAGTTGCAACCATATTTTTGTCCCAGGGTACATCATTGGTTGGAATTTTAGTCGAGTCCGTACGACCCCCCCCTTTTTTTGGGAGTTGGTGCGAACCCCCCCCCCCCTCCGGCCCTCTGTCCCTCCTCATCGAATCATCGAATCGAGCCGTCGAGCGGAGGGAGGGGGGGCCCTTTTCTACCAATTCTCAGATTTTCCCCAACTTCCTGCCACTTCTTCCAAAATTTCTTGAGAACTTCCCTACTTTTTCTCAAAAGTTTTGCTGTCGATAGGGCACATCATTGCTTGGGGATTTTAGTCGACTCTATACGACTCCCCCCCCCCTTTTTGGAAATTGGTACGCTTTTAGTCGACTCTATACGACCCCCCCCCCCCTTTTTTTGGGAATTGGTACCCCCCCCCCCCAGCCTCTGTCCTTCCTCATCGAATCGAGCCGTCGAGCGGGGGGGGCATATAGTATATTATAGTACGCATGAAACAGGAAAATCACAAAAGTCAACCACCTCTCCCAACGCCAAAACGTAAATACGACCCCCCCCCTCCCAAAAATGACCAAGTACGACCCCCCTTTACAACGTCCATGAAGCGAGAAAAATCAACTATCAAAATAAATTTTTCCCAACCAAATACGAACCCCCCCTATTGGGATCCCCAAACAATGTGCCCTGACTGTCGGCGGGTGGGGGCATATAGTACGCATGAAACAAGAAAACCACGAAAAGTCAATTACCACTGCTAGTAAGGCCACAGAGTAACGCCGTGAAGCGGGAAAAATCAACTGTCAAAATAAATTTTTCTCAGCCCAAATACGACCCCCTCTCCTGGCGGCCAAATACGACCCCCCTATTGGGGATTCCCCAACAACGATGTGCCCTGCTTTGTCCACCTCGGAACAAGACGACAGCTGTCTCAAACTAAATCATCCCACGAGTAACTCATCCTATAGCATTTCAAATGCCACGCCTACTTTGTCTCAGGAGGATACGCTTCGATCTATTTATCCCCTCACCATATTTAATTAACTGATTTTTAGAATGGCTCTACACGCTGATCAAGAATAATAATGTTTACATGCTGATCGTAAGTCGGATTGTTCAGCTGTGCATCCCATATACTTTGATTGCCAATACCGCGTTCCGACTGGCTTCTATAAATCAGCGATCGCGACCAGTAAAACAGTAAGTTGTTTTATATGAGGCGCCATAATGAATTCAGCGACGAAAATGGAAAATAAAGGTTGCTCTTTGCATTGGTTTCAAGCTACAGCTTATCAGATGCCATTGTTGTGGTGATAAATGACCTTTATAGGGCAGATTTTCCATATCAGGAAATTCAAGCTTTGCTGTTGTGTTGTAATACTCTTGTAATACTCTTATATTCTTGAAAGCTGTGGTCGTACTGGAGATGAGTATGGTGCTCTCGGAGCACACTAGGCGCCCAGCTTCTTAGCGTGTCTAGTCGCTGGACGCCTGGATCAGGGCACATCGTTGTTGGGGAATCCCCAATAGGGGGGTCGTATTTGGCCGCCAGGTGCGGATCGTATTTGAGCTGGGAAAAATTTATTTTGTTGATTTCTCGCTTCACGGACGTTGTAAAAGAGAGGGGGTCGTACTTGGTCATTGTTGGGGGGGGGGGGTCGTATTTACGTTTTGGCGTTGTAGGAGCGGTGGTTGACTTTTTGTGATTTTCCTGTTTCATGCGTACTATATCCCCCCCCCGCTCGACAGCAAAATTTTTGGGAAAAGTAGGGAACTTTTCGGGAAATTTTGGAAAAAAGTGGCAGGAAGTTGGGGAAAATCTGAAAATTGGTCGAGGGGGGGTCGTATTGTCTCGCCGGTTTCCCTAATTTATGCGTACTATATGCTCCCCCCCCCTTTGGAACATCCGTGAAGCGAGAAAAATCAAAAATCAACTATCAAAATAAATTTTTCCCAGCCCAAATACGACTCCCGCTCGGCGGCTCGATTCGATGAGGAGGAACAGAGCCGGAGGGGGGGGGGTCGTACAGACTCGACTAAAATCCCCAACCAATGATGTGCCCTGCCTGGATTCACCGAGTGGCGCCGCCCCATTCCAAGCGCGACCTTGGCCTCATGCTGTGTCGTTTGAGGCTTGAAAGAAAAAAATTACAGAAAAGTTCAGGAGTGGAAATCTACGAATAACTGTGTTTATTATTGCAACCACAGCAGTGTTACTGCGACTACCCGGCTATTTCTTCATTGAAGTGGTGGAGCTTCCTCATTGTGATTTTTTTGAAAGTCGTGTTTTATCCGGGAAAGTTATGGATCCATTAGTAGCGAAGATGTACACCATAAGTGACGTTATTATACAGGTAAGTTCATTTTATATTTTATACATACTCGCACCCGTTGAAAGATAATTCGAGTTGCTCCTTCAAGTTTCTTCACCTTTTCGTCTCCTTTATTATACTTTGCGTGCTGAACTGTATCGTGGTGCGAAAAATGAGGACTACGTATGATCGTGCAAGATCGCAATCACTATGTCCGGACTCCTATATGGTTAGTTTTGTATATGGTCATTTTAAAAGCGAGAGAGGGATAACTCAAGGTGCTTCAAAGTGCAGCAAAGTCCCTCTTGTTTAGAGG